CACAAGGGAGCTGGGGGCTAGGTTACGCTGCTGTATCTTTGTTGTGTTGTTGTAACGCTGTATCGTCGCTGTCGTTGTTTTTGGGCGCAGTGTGCCCAGTCAATCCAGTGGGGAAGTGCTGTGCAGCCTGAGGCTCGCGGAGGTTTTCTCCCTCCCGCCTCAGATGCCCGCTATCGACTAGTCGACTGTTTTCTTCCTGGTGTTTTCAATTTTTTTGTTCGACGACGCCCTAGACAATATGTCGTTCAATAAAATGAAGCTTTAGGACATCTCTAGGGCGTCTTTAAGGTGGCCCTGGAGATGTCTCAATATTTGGTCGATACGGGGATTCTGTCGGAGACTGTGTAGACAGAAATAAATCGACCACTGCTGGGAGCTGGGGGCTGGGTTACGCCGTTGTATCTTTAAATCATTACTGCTGCAGTTCGATTGATTTGGCGCACAGTGTGCCCAATGAATTGAGTGGGGAAGTATAGCCTGGGCTCGCGGAGGTTTTCTACCTCCCGCCTCAGATTCCCGTTAGAAACTTAAGTCCACTGTCGTTCTTCAGATTTGGGAGGACCAGATTAAGTCATTGACCCTCTAAAGCGCGCGGATGTCCGCAGCAGCTTCCTAGTTAAGAGCTGCCTTTGCTGCATTTTCCGATCGATCGATCCCAGTCTGAATCCTTGACATGTTGGTGTTATTGCTAGTGGGGAAGGTCAGACTGAGGCTCGCGGAGGTTTTCTACCTCCCGCCTTAAATTCCCGTTATAAAATATAGAATGTGTTTGGGATATGGCTAGCGATAATTGAAGGCACGATGTTATTATGTCAATTTTATCGATAAAAATGTGCCCTCAAAAACGTGCCCGTCAAAACTGAGTTTTTTGACAAAAACAAATTCATATATTTTTTAAGTTTTTTGGTTTTTTCATTATTATTATTCATTATTGTCTTTTTTAATGACACATATTATATATTGGCTTACAAATGAAATTTATCTGTTAGACGGACACAAGAAACACAAACAATTTTTATGTAGTCCCATAAAAAATTAACCCCATCCCATTCCAAGAGGAGGGGGGTGGGCCCACATATGGGGGCATTTTTGTCGGTAAAATTGACATCACAACATCACCTTAAATTATCGCTAGCCCTATCCCAAACATATTGTATAATCGTGCCGCTTGCGGCGGAGGGCGAGAGCAGAGTCAGCTCCCCCAGCCTGGTGTCGATGAGCTTCCCTTCTCCTGAAGCTTCACCTTCCTCCTGCAGCTTTAGGACCGCTTCTTTGGACCTGGCTGACCACTGCGTCGACATCCATTTTGCGTGAGTAGAGTGGTCCACTCTATTCGCCGCCGTTGCATCTGGGAAGAAAATTTTTGTTACGCCCCCAGTGTCGTTAGACCTGTATCTCTGGTTCCATTCCAATACCGGACACAGGTCGTACTTGGGCTTCTTTTTGGTATTCAGTGCCGCCTCTTTCGCCAACTACTTGCCTGCCAGTCCCGCGTGCGCTTTAATCCAGTGCAGAGATGCAGCTTTGCCCTGGTGGGAAGCGGATGTTAGGTTTCCCCTGGTTTTGACCACTAGCGGGTGCATAAGCTAGCTGGGGGCTGGGTTACGCTGCTGTATCTTTGTTGTGTTGTTGTATCACTATCGTCGCTGTCGTTGTTTTTGGGCGCAGTGTGCCCAGTCAATCGAGTGGGGAAGTGCCGTGCAGCGTGAGGCTCGCGGAGGTTTTCTCCCTCCCGTCTCAGATGCCCGCTATCGACTAGTCCACTGTTTTCTTCCTGGTGTTTTAATTTTTTTTTCGACGACGCCCTAGACAATGTCGTTCAATGAATAAAGGACATATCTGGGGCGCCTTTCAGAGGGACTTGAAGCTGTCCCCAATATTTACAACCGCCTCAGAATCCCGTTATAGACTCTAAGTCGACTGTTCTCTTCAGTTTTTGAGCGGGTGACAGTCATTGAAGCTTTAGGACATCTCTAGGGCGTCTTTAAGGTGGCCCTGGAGATGTCTCAATATTTGGTCGCTACGGTGACTCAGTCGGCGACTGTGTCGACAGAAATAAATCCCTCACGAGAGCTGGGAACTGGGTTATGCCGCTGTGTCTTTGTTTTGAGCCCAATCAATCGTGTGGGGAAGTACAACCTGAGGCTCGCGGAGGTTTTCTCCCTCCCGCCTCAGATTCCCGCTATCGACTAGTCGACTGTTTTCTTCCTGGTGTTTTCAATTTTCTTGTTTTTGACGACGCCCTAGACAATATGTCGTTCAATTAATTAACGACATGTCCAGGGCGTCTTTCAGGGGCCCTGAAGCTATCCCAAGATTTAAGAGATGCGGGAGCTTATTTGTTCAGTTAAGGCTTCTACTTTTCAGGGTCCACCTTAAACTTCGGGTCCGAAAAATCTGGTGAGGTTGAGCCGCCCTTTAAGTCGACTGTTTTTTTTTTTTCAGTTTTTTAAGTCATTGAAATACATCTCTAGGGCGTCTTTAAGGTGGCCCTGGAGATGTCTCAATATTTAGTAGATACGGAGATTGTGTCTACAGAAACAAATAACCCACGAGGGCTGGGTTACGCCACTGTATCTTTAAATCATTACTGCTGCAGGGAAGTGCAGCCTGAGCCTCGCGGAGGTTTTCTTCCTCCCGCCTCAGATGCCCGCTATCGACTAGTCGACTGTTTTCCTTGTTACTTTCGATGTGGAGTGGGTGACATGAATGATGAATGCCACCCGCTCTAACGACGCCCTAGACATGAACGACGTGTGTAGGGCGCCTTTCAGAGGGCTCTGAAGCTGTAATAAAACCCTTATGCCTTATGCCCTCATAAAATTTTATTTTATTACGAGAGGAGACTCAGCTCCCCCAGTCTGGTGTAGATGAGTTTTCCTTCTTCTGTTTTGGAGTGGGTAACAGTCAATTGCCGGACATCTCTATGGCGTCTTTAAGGTCAATATTTGTTAGATACGGAGATGAGTCGACAGAAAAAAATACCCCACAAGGGCTGGGTTACACCGCTGTATCTTTATATCATTACTGCTACTGCTCAGGCTGCAGCCTGAGGCTCGCGAAGGTTTCTCCCTCCCGCCTCAGATTCCCGCTATCGACTAACCGAATGTTTTCCTGTTGCTTTCTGTTGTTTTGTTTTCTTTTGAGCGGGTGATATAACTGATGAATGTCACCCGCTCGAGGTTTGGTCTCCTTATTTCTCTAGTAACAAGCAGTAAATATTTTAAATAAAAATTACTTTTATTCAACATAAAAGATGAATAAATAAACATTATTAGCACATAATAATATTTACTAGTCAAATTGAAGTTCCAGATTCTAGAATAATACATTACCTAACGTATTAAAATTCTAACTTTCTCTAATCACTTTATCCATAACATATTCGTAAATGAATTATAACAAAATATTTGTAGAAAAAATTGTAGAGAAATGTATTATTTTTTAAATAACTAGCTGCCATAGAACAAACTGCCTAGGTTACTGGTGTTATAGTTGAAATAACTTATTTATTACTTGTTTTCAAGTGTTCTAATGATTGTTGGCTGTTAGCTTGTATAGATGAGTAAATAAATCGCAATAAACAATGTTTTGAATAAATAAGGTGGTTTTATTACTTACGTGAAGAAATAATCTAAGTGCGCGCTTCCTTCTGTCATAGGCAGTGTAAAATGTCCAAGGAGTGGAAGACAGGATAAATGGCGCGTACTTGGGGGAGGCTAAACTCCATGACGCGTCCATCGCGTTTCATATGCTCGTGGTGGGCATGAGGATTTTCGCTCAACGTACGACGAATGCCAAAGATTTCGTAACTATCTTTTAGGCTGTTCTAAAACCTAATCACTGACCAGTATTAATACACAATGGACAGGCTGTCTCCATGCAAATGACAGCTAATCAAGTGTGGCAATTTGAAGCGCCACTACGATTAATCCCGAGAAATAATTTTGCTGTACATTGCAAGGGTAAGCGTGAGAGTAAGCGAGTAAGTACATCACTAATTTTAGTTCCGTGGACAATCGTATCTGCCTACAGTATGGACCCAAAATGGCGAAACTTTTTATGCGGATTTTTATGCCGGTAAAATTAGCTAAACACTGTGAAAGCCTTCTAGTATATGCTTGTAATAGGGGCGAATTTGCAACGAACTCATTATCTGTACATCGCTCAGCCCGTGGGTCCGGGCACGACGCGTCCGTCGCGCGCACAGTGTTTTAGAAACCCTCAAAATCGGACATGATTAAGTTAATGCCATGAGTCGATAGCGTCTTATGTTTCAATTACAAGAGTGAAACTCACGTGTACTCATTTTACTTGGTTTTTGAGAAAAAAATTGTGAAAGTTGGCCGTTTTTAAAATTCCTAAAAATGAAAAAAAAATTTTTTTAATAATTAAGAGGGTTTGTAAACTTGTGATAAAGCTGATTCGATTGATCATTAAAAGACGCATGTATTGTACTTTATTTCATTTCTACAAGTCAAGTAGTTCCAGAGATTTTAATTATTTTTCATTATTTAGACTTTATTTTTTTTCTTCCATCCTAAATGGAATCCGCAATTTTATTTCATACTGAACAATACTTTGGTATAGCCTCTATGTAGAAATATTTTTATCTTCTGTGGATCGTGTCTTGTACCAGAGATGTATGAATTTTTATTATTTTTATTTTCGCCTATACAATTTTTTATAGCAATGTTTCATCGACGCATTGGAATATGATAAGGCGTTTTAAAGAATAATTACAAGGGGACTTCGTCGTCGTCGCCCCTGTTAAAGCCCGGTCTGTGAGCACGTAGAATTTTGTCCAATGACCCCAAGCTACCCATCCTTATCGCTCGCGCGTAATTATGTTGCTGTCGCGCTCGCACACTCACTGCGGGCGCCCGTCGCACAGTCGCGACAGCAATATAATTACGCGCGAGCGATAAGGATGGGTAGCTTGGGGTCATTGGACAAAAATCTACGTGCTCACAGACCGGGCTTTAACAGGGGCAATTTTGCAACTAACTTATCTTCTGTACACCGCTCAGCCCGTGTGTCCGGGCACGACGCGTCCGTCGCGCGTCAGGTGTCTGAGCTCGTGCAGTTGCGCGTGGTGCGCGCGCATGAGGTGCAGCTTGCGCTTCCAGCTGTCGGCGAAGGATCGCGCGCACCGCCCGCACGCGAACGGACGCGCGCCCGAGTGCGTGCGCGAATGACGCGCCTGGGGACAATACAAGTCACCAATTATTTTCTGAGAACATTAGTTTATTGCAGAAGCTATGTTTACTGTTATAATTATAACTGTTATTGGATTTCCATAGTGAAGTGTTTAATGTTACATTGAAATCTGTAAACTGTTTATATCCCTAACTAACTTTCCGCCCGCGGCTTCGCCCGCGTGGCTTGTTATTCCAAGTCTGATTCTTTTTTGTTATACCACGTTTTGTAGTGACTGACATTTCATGTCAAGTCACACGGGAATGCTGTCGAACGGGATAAAAAGTATCCTATGTCCTTCTCCTGGCTCTAAACTACCTCCCTGACAATTTTCAGCTAAATCGGTTCAGCCGTTCTTGAGTTATAAGTGGAGTAACTAACACGACTTTCTTTTATATAATAGAAGATAAATAAATAAACTTTTTAAACTTTCGCGTTCCATTTCAATTAAAATAGTAAGATACGGGTCTTAACGCGACGTTTATTAATGAGTTTATTATTTATTACAACGATGGGGCCAGCGCAGAGAAGAAACTCGGTCATCATCATAATTATGACATCTATTGCCGCTATTTCTTATTGAGGCACCCTAGTGCTTTGCGCTTACTAGACGGCGCTAATGTAAACTAAACTTCAATTACTTACTAGTGGCTAATCGCATTTACGTAAATAAAAGGTACACCCACTAAAGCACTATAGCGTCGTAGAAGCCCTTGCGACACGTGGGGCAGACAATGAGCTGGCGCCGCAGGCTGATGGCAGTAGCGAAACGGAACCAGAACGCCAATAGTTTTCCTCGCACTAGCAGTCTTATCAGAGTAAATACAAATGAGTAGGTCATCTTCATAGAAACGCACGGGCGCGGTTTGTATGTGAGCGCGCCAATACGTTTCATTAAAATTTAATTGTCTGAAAAAAAAAAACGTATGCGACGCGCACGCACACACTGACCAAATTTAGCGGGGATTAGCGGGGAGCCAGTCGTTGCGCATGAGTTGCGCCGAATTTTGTCAGTGTGTGCGTGCGCGCGCCGCATACGTATATTGGCGCGCTCACACAATACAAACCGCGCTCGGTGCGTTTCTATGAAGATGACCTACTCATTTGTATTTACTCTGGTCTTATTAAAGGTGCACTCACCAACGCACTAGCGTCGTAGAAGCCCTTGCGACACGTGGAGCAGACGTGTGAACTGGCTCCGCGGTGGCGCCGCAAAATCAGCACGCTAATAGTTCCTCGCCCTTGCAGCCTTATTAAGAGTAGGCGCACACCGTTGATTTTTAGTTGGCCGATAGTTGTGCCCGATTTTAAATTGTATGAAGAATCGGCCAAATCGAATCGGCGTAGTGTGCGCACTCCCATACATGCCCATACTGATCAACTGCCCGACTAAACTATCGGCCGACGAAAAATCAACGGTGTGCGCCTACTCTAAAGGTTCACTCACCAACGCACTAGCATCGTAGAAGCCCTTGCGACAGGTGGGGCAGACGTGCGAGCTGGCTCCCCGGTGGCGCCGCTCGTGGCGCCGCAAGCTGGACGCGGCGGCGGCGCGGAACCCGCAGGCGCCGCACGCGAATGGCTTCTCACCAGTGTGCCGGCGCATATGCACTGCGAGGTTGCCAGCTGGGGAAAAATAAATAAGTATGGATAATAACAAACAAAATCAAAAAATATTTATTCAGTTTAGACAAGTGGCACTTATGAAATATAAAAAAGAAAAGGTACAGCCCTTATCAAAACAAACTGTTGTAGAATTGGCTATTCATAAATTTAAAGCACATTTAAAAGCACCCTAACGAAAAAGGGCTACTATAAAGTTGATCATTATATAAAAGATAAAAATGTTTGGAGTGTTTAACTGCCTAGCTCGCATCAATACTTACGACTATAATTTGTATATTTTAAAGACTGTAAACCCTTGAAAAGGAGGCTGACAATAGTGACTGAGTTTCTTGCGCTGCTTCTTATTGTCCCGAAGCAGTGGTAGAGTTAATACAAGGACGTGTAAAAGTGCTTTTTAAAAGCTTATTTGCAAAATAAATGACTTTTATGAGTTTTTTTATCATTATTTCCTTCATCCATCCACCCATAACAAGAGTCATAAAGGTAACGGGAAAGGGCTGGAAGTAGCTTGCTACCAACCTGCCAATCTGGAAATCATTAAGGGGACCTATGTTCAGCACTGGACAATGGACATCCTATGGCATACTGCTAAGGAACACCACAGTGGTTGTTGGTGCAAATTGAATGCAATAAAAAAACTTTGGCCTATTTAATTGCTCTTGGAATCTAGTATAGTGTGTAGGGAGAATTACTAAAAAAGGGTACCTTGAGCGAAGCTCCATCCGCAATAAGAACACAAATATTGCTTGTCACCTTTGTGTACTTTCATGTGGCACTTCAATATGCTGCGCTTTTTGAACCTGCAAAAAGAAAATCAGATTAGACTTTCATTCAAAATAGCTGAGAACTACCTAAATAAAGCTAACTTTCCATAAATAAACTACATAAGGGCTATTTCTAATAAGATTTTTTGAAACCGCACCATAACTGTTCAGTCATTTTTGTTCCAACACAGTGATACAATTTTCCTTGCAAACAGTATCCCTCAAAACATCTATCTTATTGAAAGAGCCCTAAATTAGAATCACTCCATCTACTTCCAACTCATTCAAAGATGAACCTAGAAGTCAAACTTGTAAAACCTCTAAAAACCTGACAGGCAATGATTTAACTCACCTCATGGTGCATTTGTCGCAAACGTACGGCTTGGCGTCGTCGTGCGACCGCATGTGGATGGCGAGGTGCTTGCGCCGCTTGAAGCGCTTACCACAAGCGCCGCAAGCAAAGTTGCGCTCTTCGGAGTGTGTCGTTTGATGGTAAGACAGCTGGGATTGCTTCGTGAATGCTAAAAGCAAATGATGTTAGTTAACAGTGAATAAAACTAAAACGAGAATAGCTGTGTTATTTTTTTATTTGGGGACCAGGCCAAGGGCCAGGTGGTAGAAAGAAAGAAAAAAATATTTACATATTTGGCTTGGCAGCAAATAATAATGCAGGGTTGATAATAAATTAATGCTAAAGAATATTCTTATGAGAAAAGGAAAAAGCATTAGAGCATATTTTACCATGCAAAGGCTTAATCTATTTGATTGATTTGATGAAAGAAATCAAGATGTAAAACAAGCTGGTTTTTCATTAACAATCTAAACTTACTTTTGGGACACTGGGTGCAGCTATACTTAAGACCAGTGTGCTCCTTTTGCATATGTTTGCCAAACCAAGTTTGTGACGTGAATGCTTTTCTACAAATTGGACAAACTTTCTTCTTTGTCTCATTAATATCTACCTTTTCAGCTTGAAGATTGTTTTGTCCTTTCTTATTTTCCACAATTGATGGTGCAGCAGCGTTGACTTCTTCAGTAATTTTCTCATCGTGAATCTCATTTATTTCATTTTCCAAATTAACGAGTATTATATTCTCATTGGTGTTTATAATCGCATTGCTTAAATTATATTCCGGTACAGTCAGAGTATAAGACATATCAGAATTAATATCATCTTGTGAAATATTTCTATAATAGTTGTCCGGTTCAACGATAACACTAGTGCAGGATCTTGAAACCATGTTTCTAAGCGTCACATCCACTTTCTGAGCTTCTGTTATGTAGAAGTATGACGATTCTATTTTCAGGGTACAGTCGTTGCAGAATTGCCTCGGCAGTTGGTCACTTTCTGAAATCTTTATTTATTTATTTATTTCCAAGCTTAAGCCTATTTTTACAGAAATCCAATACAATAGACAAGCGAAATATGACAGGAACGTAACAATAGTAATATACGTAAATTATTTTAAAATATACAAATAAACCTAAGAATAACATAAATTAAAAAGCGTCATCTTTGTGAATTCACCCAGAGTACAATGAAACAAGTCAATCCGTTCAGCTAGTTTATTGAGGGTGTGCAGTGTATCTAATAGAAAATATCAAAATAGACATCCATGCTAGTGTTTAAAAAGTGTTACTGGCTAGACACTGCAGCTTTACTCTAAATAAAGGGCTCACTGATATATTGAGGGTAGGAAAGTAAGGATATGAGGGTAGATCTGTATTTGCCTACACGCATAATCGCCAACATAAAATCATTAACAACTGCATTATTTGGGTATTTTTTGGTTGATTCGGTTGGTTAGTTTTTTCTGGCATTCCAATATGTTACGATGAGTATAGGTATCAAGGTTCAGCTTGATATTACCGATACAGGGTTACAATGACCGGGTATCAATCAAAGTTAAAGGGTGAAAAGTGTCTTCCAGCTCACATACCTTAATGTTTGTGCAGAAAACAAACATTTCTATTGTTTTTATGCTCACGTTGTCCTTTTCCCAGGGTGATAACTCTTTTATACAGCTCCGACAAATTAGTGAAAAGTCCATTTTTATTTTCGATTTTGATATCACCTAAATTCTGAGGTAGTACAAAGAAAATCAATATTTTTTACGGTACCCGCAAAAATTCATCCGAAAAATTGTTTACAAACAAGTGTCAAACATTTTTTTAATATCTGTACGCCTTCAAATTGTAGCAAAGAAATATAAACTGTCAAGCTTTTATAATAGAAAAAATATTTAGATAATAATATAAAATAGCAAAACATACTTCAATTTTGTTTGTTTGCAACCATTTACAACTTAGTTTACAACATTATGGGCAATATCGTATACTGAAACCGTAACACTTAAGAATCAAATCACTCGCTAGAGGTTACGACAGTGGCGCCAGCTAGTGAGCGCTTAAACGGTAGAAAAACTATCGCATTCTCCCTCACTAAGATGGCGCTACTGTAGAGTATGGTCCGTTTCTTACCAAGGAGCGCAAATAGGAGCCTTCTATTCTTCATACAATAATTTAAACAAAAACAAAAAAATCTGTTTTTATCCGTTTATTGACCCAGTGGCTTAAATAACAATAGCCTTTGGTGGCGGCGGGCTGCCTTCCTGCAGCAGTGCCATAAGCTCCTCGCTCCCTTCACCTGCCAGCGGCGCCGCTTCCAGCAGCTTCGGCGCGTGCCTCAGCTCAGTGCATAGTCGCGTGAACTGCAGCATGAGCAGTGCTTCGTTTCGCATCTGGCGGTATGCTGCGTCCATCTTGCTTAGGACTAGAATGAACTGCAGAAGATACAAAGTTTAGTAGAATAGCTATGGAATAGCTTTATCTCTTCCTTACGCTCGAACAGCCTTCACGATTTAACAAACTGTTAGAAAGAGCTGTAATTATTTCTATATTTTTCCTTTAAAACACATCTCCATTAATTATTTATTCTTTTAAAACATCAAGTTTAGGAATCAAGTTTTCAACTAACAAGCCAAAGCTTTAATAAAGTTGCCTCTACTGCCCGCTAGAGGGCAGTACTATACTATGGCTTGTAAAATTCTTCTAAAAAAACCGGCCAAGTGCGAGTCGGGCTCGCACACCGAGGGTTCCGCCGTACAAACGTAGCGGTTTACAATTTATGACGTATTAAATCAAATTACTTACTTGATTCCGTTGCGAGTAGTGGCGAATTTCAAAATATGCGGTATGATTATTTTTTATTTATTTATTTTTCCTATATTTGCATTATAGGTAGGTACCTACCTCAGCGTTTTGAATTTTTGCGTTGATTTAGAATTTCTCACAGTTTAGAGGCAATTAGATTTAAGAAGTGTTTGATATGAATTTCAACTTTAATATCTCTACGCGTTCATGTGAAAAAGGGTAGGTAGTAAGTTTATAATTATTAAAAAAATATTTTATGTCATGTAAGCAAAAATAATATTTTAAATTTTATATAACTTCAAATTTATCATTTTCGCAATTTTTCCTTTATCTGTACTATATAACGTTGCTTCGTGCCGAATTTCAAGATTCTGAGTTCACAGGAAGTACCTTGTAGGTTTTGATTCCCTAGCGTGTGACGGAAATTCGTCTAAGGTGTCGGTATAAACTGCTGTATCTTTTGATCGCGTTAACTTAGAAGTTTGATTTTTTTACTTCTTAAAGGGACAATAGATCTAGGTATTTGGTATAAATTTCAATTTGATACCTTTATTCGTTCGTGAGAAATAAGGTAGTAAGTTTCATTTTATTAAAATATTTTTATTATATTATATAACTAAAAAAATGTAATTTTCGCAATTTTTCCTATATTTGCATTATATGACAATGCTTTATGCCAAATTTCAAGATTCTGAGTTTACGGGAAGTATCCTGTAGGTTTTGATTCCTTTGCGAGTGTCGAAAATTTGTTGAAAATATCGACATAATCGGCTGTATCTTTTGATTGGCTTGGCTTAGAAGTTTGATATTTTCACAGCTTAAAGGGACAATAGACCTAAGTATTTCATGTGAATTTCAGCTTGATACGTTCACGCGTTCTTGAGATAAAGGGTCTTGACAGACGGACGGACGGACAACAAAGTGATCCTATAAGGGTTCCGTTTTTTCCTTTTGAGGTACGGAACCCTAAAAATGGGTAATAAATATTATAATCTTAAATATGTACTTAATAAAATACACATATTTGTTAGTAACTAACCTTAGCAGTCTTCAGTCGTGGTTCAGCAAGCAAAGTATAGAGCATAACTGCAGCTGCAGAGATTTGACACAGGTTCGATGTGTCCACTACAAATATTATCTGAAAATTATTGGAAATAAATTATTATACCTACTAAAAAAAATTAACACAAGTAGTTACTAGAAATTAAAAAGAAGTCAAACCTTTTCTACACCATCCAAATAGTTGCTCCACAGTGGCGCCATCTCTCCACCCACCTCTCTGATGGAAAGCGTCTGCTTTTTGCCGTGCTTGTTTAAAAAATGTACGTCGTAGATGTTTGTACCTATCGTGGGCACTGGGCTGTATGTGTTGTCTATTCCTTCGGCATCTTGCAACTTTTTCAGCAGCGTAGTTTTTCCCGCGCCTTTTGGACCAAGGCAGAGGACACTGATTTTCTTGTCTGGGTCGTCCATCATGAATCTCAACTATTTAAAGTGTTAAATAGTACTGCGCTGTTATTTTCCTAATTAGAGAAAAAACTCTAGGACGTAGTTTTGTCGATAACATAGTTACTTTGGTAACACACAAGTAATTTTAGGAAAAGTTATGACGCTAAGAAGTTAGTTCATAAGATTTTCCGCTAGGTGGCTTTCAGTGCATTAAAAATAATCATGAAACTTGAAAGCTTTGTCAGTTGGTAGGGAGTTTTAATTCTTTTTAATCAAATAAAAATATGTATCACAATGTAACTTATTTACATAAATGTCAAAAAGGATTTTTGTTTTAAAAATATAACTTAAATGGTTCAATAAAATTGCCTTAGTACTTTAGATAGGCTTGTAGAGCCATCAAGGTGGACCGATTAATCTGAATTTGGTAAATCGGTCACGAATATGACTGGAGGTTAAAATATACTCGAACGAAAATGAAGTTGGAAGAGAAGATTAAAATTTATTATGGGATTTAATTATTTTCATTTAAGGAGCAAAAGTCGTCGTTAAAACATTAGGGTAGGAACCAATTTACCAATTGATTAATCTAGTGAAATGAATTGTGTGAATAAAATGATTCGATTGAATCAGATTTTATAGGCCGTTGATATTGGTTGTCACTGTCAAATAGCTGCAGTTACGTATGCGCATTATGACATTTGGGCAGCCCCGGGGCCTTCGCGGTAACCACCGAGCGCACAGTATGTTATGAGACTGTATAATCGGACATTCTCATTTATTTGATGAACCGTATAGAGCTCAGTTATACAAACATGATAGTAAAACTCCCGTTTGAAAATTCCAAGTAGTTTTCGCGGTATAAAAATTCAAAGTTGCCTATTTTTTTACTTCAAAATTATGCAAAAATATTCTCACTCGTTAACTAATAACATTTAATTCAGAATTGTTATAATACTTCATAGAGCTCTTAAAACTACACGTAATAAGCGTATTAAGTGCTTCGTAAACGCATTCAGTTAATTGGGAAAAATGATTTTAGTGATTTTTGTTTTTATTTTTTTTCTCAATTATACCTTAATATATGCAAACATTTTTAATTGCAAGATATAGTCTGATATTTAATCTAATTGTATAAAAAAAATCAGCTTTAAATTCCGTGATATATTTGAGGAAAATCAAATTGAAAATATGCGCCATATAGAATTGTAAATTTCCCATCACTTTTTAATAGCAATATTTCTTTTGGATGCTAAATATCATCAGCTCGATTGTACCAAATTATTGTATTGACATTCGATTTACATAGGTTTCAAATCGATGAGAAAATTATTAAAGGTAGGATAAATTCGACTTCCTAGATTTGTTTACATACTTTTTTAGTTAGTTACTTACATACAACTTAAGTTAATATAAGAGTACATAGAAAAAAAAATACATACAGTCGAACATAGAACCTCCTCCTTTTTTTGAAGTCGGTTGAAAAAGAAAAAAGACTCGACTTGAGAACCTCCTCCTTTTTTTGAAGTCGGTTAAAAACAATGTGAATGTGACTTTTTAGAACCTTCAACACTATGCACATAACAGGCGGGATTTGAAACTTTTTAGACATGAATTATTCCTTCCAAAATTGTCGACCCTAGACTCGTAAAAATTTTATTAAGACGTTTTATGTTTGTTCTCAAATACATCACGGAGTTTAAAGCTGATTTTATTAATACAATTAGATTAAATATCAGACTATATCTTGCAATTAAAAATGTTTGCATATATTAAGGTATAATTGAGAAAAAAAATAAAANCGTAAAAATTTTATTAAGACGTTTTATGTTTTTTCTCAAATATATCACGGAGTTTAAAGCTGATTTTATTAATACAATTAGATTAAATATCAGACTATATCTTGCAATTAAAAATGTTTGCATATATTAAAGTATAATTGAGAAAAAAAATAAAAACAAAAATCACTAAAATCATTTTTCCTAATTAACTGAATGCGTTTACGAAGCACTTAATACGCTTATTACGTGTAGTTTTAAGAGCTCTATGAAGTATTATAACAATTCTGAATTAAATGTTATTAGTTAACGAGTGAGAATATTTTTGCATAATTTTGAAGTAAAAAAATAGGTAACTTTGAATTTTTATACCGCGAAAACTACGTGGAATTTTCAAACGGGAGTTTTACTATCATGTTTGTATAACTGAGCTCTATACGTTTCATTAAATCAATGAGAATGCCCGTTTATACAGTCCCATAACACACTGTGGAGCGTATAGTTTTAACTTGTACAGTCGGCTGCAAACATATGGTTTATAAATCAAAGAGCAGTGTCTTCTTTCTATCCTATTAAAAAAAAAGCATAAAACTCATTTATTTATGCAAGGAAAACGCAGCGTAGGACATCCACCCATCATCAGCCACTTTTTCAAGGGTTTACAAACTTTAAAATATACATAGTTTTAAATATTTGTGCGAGTTACGCAGTTAAGCATCCCAAACA